CCCCTTCAGCTATCCCACCCACTCCCTATCCCCACACCCTTCCCTTCTGGCAACCCCAGTTTGTTCTCTGTATTTACCTTCGGTTTCTGTCTCTGTTGCTGTTTGGGTATCTTTATAATTTGCAACATTTGTAAGTAGTCAAATTGGACTCTTCAACAGCTAGAATTCTGAGACACAGAAGCCTTTCCTTTGCCCAGTTCTAGGACTGGCATGGTTTCATTCTTTCACACTGAGATCCCTGATCTATCTGGATTTTTTTCTAATGGATTTATTTTTCCAAAGGCTAATCAATTTTCCCAGAGCCATTTGTTTAAAAGTCCACCTTAGGGTGCCTGGGTGGCTCCGTTGGTTAAGCGACTGCCTTCGGCTCAGGTCATGATCCTGGAGTCCCGGGATCGAGTCCCGCATCGGGCTCCCTGCTCAGCGAGGAGTCTGCTTCTCCCTCTGACCCTCCCCCCTCTCATGCTCTCTCTCTCTCATTCTCTCTCTCAAATAAATAAATAAAATCTTTAAAAGTCCACCTTAACCTCAGTGACTTGAGACGCCATCTGTATCATACGGTAGGTACCTTCCTGTATGTATTCGAGTCTATTTCTCATCTCTCTAGTTTATTCCTCTAGCTACTGTTCATGCTTGTGTCCTGATGTTTTAATAAGGGGCTTTAGATTATGTTTTAATGTCTGGTAGGGCGCCTCCCACCCCAATGCCCCAACTGTAGATGACTCTCAGTTGTTAACTTTTATTATATTTCATTTTTTATAGAGTTAGAATCATATAATCCTGTTGTCTACTGTAGTGGGAAGATTAATGGTCCCCAAGGATGCAGATGTCCGAATCCCCGGAACCCGTGAATACGTTCAGTCACATGAAAGGGAAATTAAGAGAGCAGACAGAAGAAAGGTCACTCATCAGCCTATCTTAAAATAGGGAGCTTGTCCTGGATCGCGAGGTGGGACCAGCATAATCACAGGGGTCTTTTGTGCAAGGGGGAGGCAGAGGTGAGCCCCAGAGGGTGGCAGTGTGAAATGGACCTGGCCCAGCACTGCTGGTTTTGAAAATGTGAAAATGGAGGTAAGGCCAGGAGCCAAGGCGTGCGGGCGGCCTGTGGAAGCTGGACAGGGCAAGGAAACAGACTGTCCCCGGGGCCTCCGGACCGGAAGGCAGCAGTCCTGTTGACATCTGATGCTGGCCCAGCCAGACCCAGCTCAGACTCCTCAACTACCGTCAGTGTTGTTGGAAGCCATCAAGTCTGTGGTAAGCCAGGGCAGCAATGGGAAACCTTGTCCACAAAACGTGCTTCTCCATCTCGAAGAGTGCTTCTCGCCTTCAAGTTGGCTGTGTGCCATCACCAAAGTGGCACCTGCTTGCTTTTCGATGGTGTTTGCACCGATGGACTTTCTCCAACTTTTAAACTTAACACAGGAAGGCCGAAAGTAAGAACGTGTCTTATAAATGGCAGTCAGGATTTTTTTCTTGCAACACTTAAAAAAAAAAAAAAGCCATTTTATTATCCTCTGGCTTTGCTGTTGCTTTTCTGAAGAGAAATCCCCCCTACTCCTTCCTCCCCGGTCACCCCCCTCCATGGTTTTAATATGTTCGCTTTCACTTTTGGTAGTTTCCTAGCAGGTGTCAGGGTGTGAGGGGTTTTTGTTTTGTATTCATCCTGTGTGGGGTTTTCTGAGATTTCTGAACCTGTGGCTTCATTTCTTTCATCAGTCTTGGAAAGTTCTTGGCCAGTCCTTCCAAGGATTGTTTTCCTGCTTTACTTTCTATTCCTTGGATTTTCACTACACACATTGTAGACCTCTTTGCTGTGACTCAATGTCTCCGTAAGTTCCAGTAAGTTCCGTTGTTTACTTTCTGTTTCCATTAGAACATGTTCTGCTGACCTGTCCTCCAGCAGCTTAACTAACGGTTCCACTCTGCTCTCTACTGATGGGCACCCCCGCTCCCCGCCACCCCACCTGTTAACTGGAGCCCAGCCCAGCAGGACCGGAGGAAAACTAAGCTGTTTCCCAAAAAGTTTTTTTGGACTTGGCCTCATTTCTTCCTACCCAAAGCAGCCTAAAAGTTCACCAGATGCCATGAGGGGTAAGGAGCTGTGGTTTAGCCCTTTCAAATGCCCAAGTCCCCCAGGTGGTAGGCCCCCAGCAAGGGACCCGGCTCTGACCAGCAGCAACCCCCCGAAGGCCGCGCCACAAGGCCCCCCGTGTTCTCTGCTCCCTCCAACACGCACCCCTCGGGCCTCGTCTCTTGAGGAGCTCCTTGATGCCCGTAAGCATGTTTCTTCCCATGTAGCCACCTGTTTGTAGTTCTTGACATGACTGGAGTCGGTCTCAAAGTACTTCCACCCAGGAGCAGAGACCTTCCGGTGCTCTCTGCCAACTCTACCACCCTGATTCTTCTCAGGTCGTTCATTTTTGAAGGAAACTCACTTTTTTGTCCTGTTAAACCCACCACATTCTAGATCAGACTGATTGCTTCTTAGGGGGTGTTTAACTTGTTCACCTAATACCCACATTTAATGGAAATGGGCAGTTAAGTCTACAACCTTGGTTAGATTCACATTCATTTTGGGGGAGGGGAGTTTGTTTTGACAAAAAACTTCATGGTGGAGGCTGTATGCTTACCGTGCCATCCTGGCAAGCTCACTTGTCCCACTGTGAGTGATGTTAAGGATGGATGGATTCAGGTGCTTTCAACTTACGTGTAGATGGGCCAAGTCTCTCAATCCCAGGAAACACAGAGGGGCACTGGGTGAAGAAAAACAGGAAGGGGGAGCTAGCAATCCACACCACTGCAGGCTGGTCACAATGGGCAACCACAGCTCAGTCTGGCTGTGGTCTTTTTTCAGGAAACAGGCCTCGAATTCCAGACCTGAAACTGTCTTCTCAAGACATGGAAGGCAGCGTTATGCCCTGGATCAGGCCTCCATCTGCTGAAGGGCTGCTCAGGGGCTAGCTCCCCCTTACCCTGCTTTGTGTGGGCAACCCTTGTGGCGTTGTCAGGGTAAGCCCCAGAGCAAACATGGCAGTTGCAGTCAATGCATCAAAAGCAGGCTGCCGTTGGGCTACACCTGCATGCAGGTGGGAGTCTCAGCAGGAGCCAGGGCACAAGGATGGGCTGGCTATATGCTCTCGTTTTCTCAGCCCATGGTCCAAGCAGCCACTGATGCTTCCCTTCCTAGATCCTTGAGGCAAAGTACTTTGTAGTACAAAGTATGGATTTTCTACTTCTATCTGCACTAGGTGGAATCCTTCTAGAAAGAATTTTCTGCCACCAGTTGTTTGATTACTTCGCAGGTTCAATTTTGTTACTTTGGACATCACTAGGGCATCAATTCATTTATTCTTAAGATTGATAAATACGGGGGAGATGGAATCAAGCATATCCTGAATTTCTTGTACAATGATGAGGTTATGTAGTATTGTAACTATGAACTTGGGATTAAAAATATAAACACACCGACTTTTCATGCTCAATTTGTCTCATGTTCAACCGATGGGAGCTCCCTCAAGTCAGCTTCTATGAACTTCTGGAAGAACCCTATGAGACTCTGAAACATTCCTGAACCTGGGACATCTTGTACTGGGGATCAACCTGTACAATTATTTCCCCAGACTTGTACCTACTTTTTTTTTTTACTTTTATTTATTTATTTGACAGAAAGAGACACAGCGAGAAAGGGAGCACAAGCAGGGGGGGAGTGGGAGAGGGAGAAGCAGGCTTCCCGCGGAGCAGGGAGCCCGATGCACAGCTCAATCCCAGGACCCTGAGATCATGACTTGAGCCAACGGCAGACGCTTAACGACTGAGCCACCTGGGCGCCCCAACTTGTACCCACTTTGAAAATAAGTTCTGATTCTGCTTAGTTGAAACTGGAGTTTAGAGACCACAATCTGGGCATTATTGGTTCTCATTGGTGCTGGGCTGTAATTACTCTAGGCCTTTTTAGTTGGACAGAGCCAGGAACTATTCATTATTTAGAAAGAAAAATCATTTAAGGTTTTTTTTTTTTGAAGATTTTATTTATTTGAGAGAGAGAGAATGAGAGAGAGCACATGAGAGGGGGGAGGGTCAGAGGGAGAAGCAGACTCCCCGCTGAGCAGGGAGCCCGATGCGGGACTCGATCCCGGGACGCCAGGATCATGACCTGAACTGAGGGCAGTTGCTTAACCAATTGAGCCACCCAGGCGCTCAATCATTTAAGGTTTCTATGTGATATTTAAGATTACTAGGTTCTAACAAGATTACCTCATTTCTAAACTGTTTTATCCTAAAATATACTTTTAATAATAGTGATGATATCACGGTAGTTTTTTGAAATTACATTCACAAAGCTGTGTATTCAGCAGGCTGAGATCTTTGTGTCCTCAGCAGATACCCCAGTGACAATGCAGAATCAAAGTACTGTGATCGAGTCACTTGAAACAATTACCGTTTCACTACGTGAAGTTCACTGACCTCCTCCTCTTTCCCTGTAGAGAATCATTTTTACTAGTTTTTGGTTGATCCTTCGACTATTTTTCTGAAATACCCGCAAGCATGTACAGCTGCACGTGCCTCCATACAGCCTTTCTCACCCTCGAAACAACAGTCTAACCTCCTTCTGCTTTGTCTAGTTTCGTTGGGGAGATCACCTTGTTTCTGTCCAGAGACCTTCTCTCTCATACTCGTGCCTCCAGGAGCTGCACGGCACTGAACACCGTTTAGTCACCTCGGGCCCTGTTAATGAACATCTGGATTGATTCCAGCCTACTAAAACTCAGGCCCATGGATACAGCTGCTACTCAACACCTGGAAGTCCAACAACTGGCATCGTCACCTTCTAGCTATGGATCCTCTTCCTGAATTCCCATTTCCTCAACTGTAAAACAAGGGCCTTCTAACAACGTGACTCATACGTCGGAGTTCAATAAAATGTTAATTCAAAAGGTATTTCCGTAAATGTTAACAGTAACTGAAAAATGTGTTTAAAATGAGCGAAAACATGAATCATGTAATCACCACTATATACTGTTTCTATTTAATTAGGAAATTCATATCTTGAGACACAATGACAAACTAGAATGTATCCACAGAAAGACCAGGAGAGTGAAATGTCTAGAAACTATCTCGATAAAACAGTTGATGCAATTAAATATTTATTGAACAAATGCAGAATAAATGAAGCAGGGGGGCTTTTAACCTGAAGATACAATAAAGACCTCCAAATATTTAGAGGGCATCACACAAAAGCTGAAAGACTTGTTCAGTGTTTCTCCAAAAGGCAGACCTTGAACCAAAGGATAAATATAAGCAACCAGTAGGTTGCAGGATAGTTGTACAAAGTGGATCACTTATCTTAATAGCTTCTTTGCCAATAGAATGCATTCCACCCTAGGTTTCCCTTCTTCTGAAAGGAACATTACAACTAATACTTCTCCTGAAGGTCTTAAATAGTTGCATTTTCATGGCAAGCCCTCCACTGCCAGCAATGGATGTAGTCACACTATCAGGAAAAAATCTGAAGTTCACAAACTGGTTTACTGAGGAAATGGTCTTTGGTTCCTCAGCTATCAGCATTCTGTAGGAGTGATGTTCAGGAGGTGAGGAGGAAGGAGAGCATATTCTCTGAAGGGGGTGCATCAGAAGCCCCGGCAGCTCAGATACTGGCTCTGGGGACGGTCCTCCTCAAACCCCAAATGAATCGCTCTAAGTATCAACCATCGGTGCAGATGGGAGTGTGCCGTGCGCTGGGGCAGGGACAAACAGCTGACAGCCACTGACCTCCACGAAGCAGGAGAGCTGTATTTAGAAGTCACTAGGAAATATAAACTGTGTAATACTGACGGGCTCCATCCAAACTGTCCAATATTACAAAATGAGAATTGTTTCAACAACTATTCAGCATAATGTTTAAGGACAAAATATATATAATATACTTTATATATGTATTTTATCACATACTCAGTAAGGAATGCTGAGGTGCTTCATCCATCCAATAAATTGAAAATAAAAATTTTACATTTCTCTATCTGTCAGTATACAGGATTCTGAAGGTGGATCTTGAACTCAGAATGATAGGATCAGTTTTCGAGGAAAGCCACATAATCGGTCAGTCTGGCTAACTGCTGTTCGTTGGGGATCGGGGGCACCGGGGCAGGCTCTGCGTGTGAAATATAGAGAGAGACTAAAGTTAGATCCCCGTGTAACGGCGCGTGGGCCCTGCCACCCACACCCTCCAATGCCTGTTAATTTAACAATAAGGAAACTTTCTTATTGATTTTAGACATTTTTGAAAAACAAGCAAAGAAGTCTCAACTTTGATGCGTAGTTTTCCTGAACTGGGAGTAAAGGCATGTCTGGCTTTGCTGAAGTTTCCACGTTACCACGCACAGCTCTTGTTGGAAGGACACCCACCCATGTGAACAGAATTCAGTGAGGAATTACCCAGTATTGACCGTGTGCCAGGCACTGCTCTATTAAATTGTCAGTGAACACAAAAAGCCCCATAAAGAACCCCATCATCCAGGAATTCAGTTCTAGCTTTTAAGTTCACGCACGTCAGCCTAGGGATGCCATCTGAGTAAGTGCTGGTGAGCAGCTCTATCACGGCTTCCCTACGTGACACCAGCGAGGCTCTGTGGCCAGGCCAGAAGGTGCCCCGGCGTCAAGGGAAGCTCCAGAGGGGAACCCACACGTTCTCTCTTGTAACCAAATATGTTGTCATAAATAGCAAGTACAGAATTTAACCTCTTCATTTATAAGGTTAGAGCTAAGAAAAAAAGAGACACACGACAAAAAAGAAATAAAGAGTAATGAAACACGTTTTAAATGAGCATATAAAAATACATACCTGATAAAGGAATAAACCGGTTAAAGGACACATCCAGGGCCCCTGTAACTAAGTAAAATTAACAGCACAATTTATAGGCGTCATCACAGAGAACTTTCACACAGAACATGTTGTTTTTAGCACAAAGGCATTTACGACCATTTGCCACCTCTCAGACAGAGTCCACAGTCACGCTCTGTACGGCTACGTGAGTCTTCTCACCACAGTTTTCTCTCAGCAGCTAGACTCGCCGGGACCATGTCTAACCACTTCCCGTGCCTTCACAGGGGAGAGCCCATTGAAATCTGAGTAATTCTTGACCGTGGGGCCAACAATGTCTAAACAACAGGAATTCAGGGCAGGTGGAAGGAACTTTGGGTTGAAGGAGGAGGGCTCACGGACGTGGGCATTAAGCTCAGCTCCAAAGACCTGGCAGAAAAGGACATTCCTGCCAAGCAGGAGGAGAGGCCTTCAAGCAGGATGAGCACAGCTCACTGCAGAAGGAGGACTGAGGGACTGGGGGTTCAGACGGCCACAACGAGGGCAGGTCAAATAATTTAAGCCAAAAAACTTAATTTTGTGCAAGTTAAAGCCACTGAAATCTTATTTCAGAGAAGAGTGTACATGTCTGTAGTACAAGGAGAAAAGGGGGGTATCTGAACAAGATATCTTTTTTTAAAAGGCAACAGTTTAGATATTATGGATAAACATGCTTAGAAATGGCCCCAATAAACAAAAGGATGGGAGACTAACATTTAGTAAAAATTAAGATGTAATAAGGATTATGAAAAACCCATAAAAAATAGGTTTCTATACAGGGATGATGAAAAACCCATATGAAGGAAAAACCGTAATAAGGATTATGAAAAACCCACATAAAATGGTTTTCTATACAAGAAATACATTTTTAAAAATTAAGGTAAAAGTAGGTGATCTTTAAAATCCTTTCTACCATGTTTATCATTCCACATCTATATTTAACCTGAGTTACTTTCAATTTGCTAGTACAGCAGAACCTTATCATCAAATGACTCAAATGCATGCCTCAGAGCCTGAAGTGGTCTTAGAAGCGGTCAGTGCTGCATACGTGGATGAAGAGCTCCACCTACCTGGCTTTTTGGGCATAACCATTCTTGTGGTGGAGTCCGCTTGCCATCCTTGTTCTAATATACCTAAAAAACGTGTATTTAACACACAAATGAGACCAAAAAACTCCTAGAATTTTCATTTACAAGATCCACAATCTATCAATGATACTACTTGTATGGAAGATATGACAAGTGCAGGTTACCCTACAATGTGTATTTTTTCTAGAAAAGTAGATTATAATAGCTTTCTCAGGTGAACTTCCTTTTAAAACATTTCTGAAACGTGGATCGAAGCCATTTTACTCTATCAGGCCGAGAGAATCCCTAGCAGAGAAGCGGTCCTCTGTAAAGGGTGCATTATGGTACTAATCTAGTCAATATAACTAAAACAACGCCCGTGTCTCTAAGGAGGACATACATGACACCGCCTCCAACTGCTCCATCAGTAGTGACAGAGCCAAGGCCAATGACAAGAACCACAGCTCACACACAGAGTCCTGGCCAGTAGGCACTGTTCCACAGGGATCACTTCAGGTCATCATCACACTACTCTAAGAAGGACACAGGACCATCACCTAACTGATGTGGAAAACGGAGTTTGGAGAATTCCAGGGATGTGTCCTAGGATCACGCAGTTAGCATGGGGGGAGGGTACAGGAGTCCCACCAAGGCAGTCAGTTAGGAGTACGGCTCGGGGCGATGTTATTTATTATGTAATAAACTATGGATCAATTTCAAGACGAATCAAAACAAATGTTTGTGAGTAAGCAACAGTACTGATTTACTCCAGGAACTTTCATTGACCTGCCTGCTATGCATCTAAGATTGTGGTAGACTTTGGAAACTGAGGAACAAGATGTGGTCTTTACAGAGTTCCTATTTTAGTCAGAGAATCAGAAATTCAATCACGGTAAAACAAAGACAATGCTATGAGGCACAGACAATGTTCTATAGCAATTTGCCGAGGGGAGGAGCTAGTTTGGGCATCACGTGAGAAATGAAAATGCGAAAGCACAGCGGAGATCAGTGGGTAAGAGTTGTTACTGGTGAGAAATATGCAGGAAAAAAAATGGGCCGAAAAGGGACAGTGGGAGGAGACTGCCTTTACCAAGTACGGGTGAAATGAGGATTTCTACACGTGAATCATGAGGTCAATTAAGATTTTCTTAAAAAAATACATTTATCAACATGTTGATTTTCAGAGGAAAAGAAGTAATTTAAAGAAATTACAAAGTTTAAGCTCCGAATCATGAACATAATACTACTCGCCCGGCATACTTACAAAAGCAACTAATTTGTACATCCTTCACTTTCTTGTATCTGGCATTTCCCACCTCTTATAAAACTATAAGACCGGGTGTAATCGGAGCTGCATGGACTTGTCTCAAACGCCTTACTCCGCCCCTTGTTGTCCCTTTCAGTAACAATGTTCCCGCCACATCCCTCCCTGCTCCACCCACTCCCGGTCAACAGTGGCTCTGAGGCCCCTTCCTGGGCATCATCTTGGGAAGGCACCCCACCATTTCACAGGCCCACCGTTAACTTAAGTCTTCATCAAAGTTCTTGGAAATAAAAGTAGAAAATACTCAGGGATCCGGCCCTGGGAACCATGATAAAAAATGACTACAGGAACATCAAAGAGGTTCCAATAAGGAAAGAGCCAGAAAGATCGCATACAACAAGGGCACACCACACAGACATAGCTGAATGGTAACTTCATCAAAATGGCAAAGTACTCCTCTGCAAAACTCGTGTTCTAGGATATCATTAACTGCCTCTGGCAAAAAGTGCTTTAAACGTAAATAAGAATCTGAAATTTCTTATCCACACCCAGAAATCCAAAGAGTTTTTCCTGAACTCATTTGGTGGCGAAAGCAGTTGTGAGGCCCTGTTAGGTCTGGATACGGTATCTCCTCGCACCGCTGAGCAGGATGCTCACACCAGCCGCCCCAGAACCACTGCTGGGCCTGCCGACAGCCTGCTTCTGTGCCCGGCCCTGCCAGGGGTGGGGGGTGGGAGTTGGGGGTTGGAGGCGGTGGAGTTGGGGGGGGATGCCACACAGGTTTGCCTTTCCAGGGAACGAATACCGCCTGAATTCCAAAACCAACCTGCTCCAACAAGTCACACTTCCCCTTCCGTGGAAGGTAAACAGCGAGCTCACACTACCTTTCACGGCCTCTTCCACGGGGAGCCCGACAAAGGCAGCGAAGTCGTCTGCAATGATGGAGGTGTAGGCTTGAGAGACCAGGGCGAAGGCCCTTCTCCTCGTTGCATCTGTGGGGGGAATGGATGGGTGGCAGATAGTGAACCAAGAGCTGGCGTTTTTAACACACAATTCAGTTATGTGATTGGCCTTGTCCAAATTTTACAAGCGAGACTAGCTCGACCCAAAGGTTTCTATGCTTACAGATGCAGACACATGTGCCTGGCATGAAAGAGGTACTCTGATATTGCCGAATAAACAATCAATTCCTTGTACTTCCTCTCAGACAGCAAATCTCCCTTGGAGGACAATGAAATTTACAAAGAAGGAGAAAAGTTAATATACATAAGACCAAAAATCTAAGAAAATTTCATTTAAATATATTTACGCACTTCGTATATAATTTTCCTTAAATTTCTTTTTTAATCCCACTTACAAACACTGGACTGAATGGAGCAGAAATGATCTACTTCGGTAATTAGTTGTCCTTTCTGAGGAGGGTCTCTGATCTAGTATCACACCTAGGAAGTGCAGAACAAGCCCTGTAACTAGAGCACTCTTCTGTTAACAAGAAAACCATAAGCCCCAAATGCTGAGTCAGCAAATTGAGGCTTAATACCGAACAGTTTCAACCTCCCCTAGAAACATAGTCCTAAGAGGTCAGTTGGAAACTTCCCGAGCCTGTGGAACAGGTAATCTGTCACATAGGCCCCCCTCCATCCCCCAAAAGGAGAAGACTCCCCACTCTACCCTTAAGGGAAGGTGACCTGGCCTGAAACATTCCTTTCTTTTCTTTTGGGCTAGTAACGTCCCTGCCCCAAGTTCCTTCCTATGAAAACCCGCCATTATGTACAGCTCTTCAGAGCTCCCCTCTACTGGCTGGATGGTATGCTGCCCAATTCATGGACTGCTTAATAAAGCCAATTAGATCTCCAAGTTTACTCAGTTGAATTTTTGTTAACACTAACTTTTGAGTCTGCTCTAAACTATTGACTTTATTTGGGTTCAAATCCTAAGGTCAAATCCTGAATGACTGAACCTAATTGGAGGGTGGGAGGGTGGGGCTGCAAACAATTCCAGCAACAAAACCTCCCTAGAGATGACATGTGGCATTTCCCCAGGCTTACATTCCCACACTGACTATTCCAGAAATGAGGCAGAGACAAAAAGTCAATGGTAGGAACTGAGGTCCAGCTAGCCTGTCTTCCTGCCCACGGCTCTTCCAGGAACATAAGGGCTCCACCATCTGGCTGTCAACATGCTTAAAAATATTCTGGATTTTACTTTCCACATTTAATAGGCCAGTACATATGTACAGTATAGCCCCATACTGAAAATCCTCTCTCCATTCCTGGGACATTGCCTGACAACCGCACCAAGCTCCTTGGGCACCCTTTGCTCCCAGTTAGGCCCCCGGCTCTGAGAAAGTCTCACACCTTCTCATCTCCAGGCTTTGGGTTTATGCTGTTGTGTGATGTCTGCTCTCGACGACTCCTAGGTCAGTTTACAAACTCCTCCTGCAGCACTGAAGTTCACTGCCATCTCTGTCCTTCTCTAAATTCAGTGTTGTTTATACTACCTGTTTAACAAGCATGCTTTTACCACCTACAACACACTGCCCCACCCCTCCCCACTCCCATCACCTCAATGATCCCTAAACTTCTCTACAGGAGGAGGGCTGTCTTTATATCTTCATACCCCCCTAAAGAGCCCAGCCTCTCTAACGAAGTATATGCTGAAGACGTGCTTGTTGACGGTATCACCAGGACGAAGCCTTTGGCTTTGTTCTCTCATATTTCTTAAAGATCTCGGACGTTCCATGGCGTTTCTTCACTGCTCACTGAGCCTGATGTCCTCGCCAGCTTCCGCTCAGCCGGTACTGCCCCTCCTTCCATGCCTTCAGTCAACTCCTTCCTTCTTCCTACCAACCACTCAGCACATAACCTCACGCTGGACTTGAAAACATCGTAGCATAAGGGAACTTTCCCTTATTTGAAGGCCATGGGCACTCAGTGAAAAAGAACCAAGAGCAACAATGGAAAAGGGAAATCCAAGTGTGCACCAACAACCATACCCCCTTGGAAAGCCTACCACATTTTAAAAATATTAACCTGAGTTCAAGCACTCTGGTCAGATTTTTAGAATTGAGAGGAGATGGGGAGTAGAAGAAGAGACACAGACAGGCAGGCCTGGCACACGGCAGAGAAGCAAGCACACGGGGAGACGGAAGCGGGTGGGCAGGGGAAGCAAAAATACAGGCTTGGAGTGTTCCACAGGGTCAGTGAGAGGCTACACAACTGGGGCTGCTTGTAACCACTCAGGGACATTTTAGTCACTGTGTGACCCTTAAGATCTGTGAAATGTGTCACCTCATGAGGGCATGCATTAGAATGACAAGCTGGAAAGGGGAATCCACTGAGCCAGCACCTAACATCTGTGGCAGTTCACCACGGGACAAAGTCCTGGGGAGACCCTAAAAGAATGCTCACTCTGCTGTGTAAAAAATACCTCAACATGCTTATTATATACCAGCAACTGCCAGGTGCTAGTGCTGCAGACAGAGGGCAGATGAGCCGGCTGTCCTGTGCTTCCTAACCCACCTCTGCTCTTCTGTTCCAGGGAGTCTGGGCCCCACTGCCCGTGGCACCTGCACGCTCCCGCCTGGCGAGTGGGTCCACGGGTCACGGGAACATACTTCCTCTGCGCCCGCCCTGCCTTGCTCTAGCTGCTCCTCAGCTCCTGGGGGCAGCCCCTTTCTGTGACCTCAGCAGTGTGGATCCCTCGCCTCCTCCCTTTGGGCCTAGAGTAGGAATGGCTACTGTCCGCACCCAGCCCCTGGGTGCTTTGTCAGTCCCTGCTGGCTGCCTTTAAGAGAGCTCTCTTTCACTAGCCTCTCTTCACTGAAGCCATTTTCAATTTTCTGGTAGGACTGCGACTAATTCAGAACAGAAAAGGAAAAGCCCTGAGAACGCGAGTGTTCTTAAAACAGTCTAGGAAACCGAAAATCTGTAATACCTTAAACAGCAAAAGGTCAAATTTAGCAGTAACTCAAATCTGTTAGAAGACTTCCTTCACCAGGCTTCATCTTATGGAGGAAAATACAGTACCATTCATGAATCTGGGGACTTGTAAAATTCTCAGGGTATATTCACAGATATTGCAGGTGAACAGATGAGTGCTTATATGTATTAATTAATTAAGCATATGTAAGTGCTTATACATATTAATTTATTTCTAACCACCATACTACTTAGGATTGCACTTTACAAATGAGAAAAGTACAGAAGGGTCACTCAAGTGGCAGAACCAGGATGTGAACTCCACAAGTATGGCTCCAGAGTCCAAACTCTCCCATGTTGTGCTCCACAGCCTCCCAGGGGCCCGCGGCACTGCCTTTGAAGTACTGCATCTAACAGGGCTGGAGGCAGAGGCGGTCCTGGGAGGAAACACCGCTGCACCCACTGAAGGCACACAGGGAATATTTGCTGCGTGGGTCAGGAGATCTGAGCCCTAGTCCTACCAACGACCCTGCTGTAGGCCACTGGGAAATGGCCCGCAGCCTGTGCCCTCACACTACAATCCTAAGACTGAACCAGATACTACAAAAAACCACCCCCACACTCTTTTCTCCTATGGACTTATGTGAAGAGGTGAAGGCGGTTTCCTGGGGGAAAATCCCAAACTGCCCCTACTGTACCTGAGCAACTTTATACCACACTCCTCCCTTCCCACCCACTGGCTGGCCCTGCACTCCTGCTCATGTCCTTCATATTTAAAGTAAGTGCCTCCTGTTTTGTCCCTTACATTGTTGTTTTATGCTGCCAGAGCTTTACCATCATAAGAGAAATGAGGTACATCTGAGAAGCAACCTTCACCTTCCGCTCCCCTGAAAAGAGGATATCCCTTGCCCGAATAATGAGTAGTTATTCAAGCATTCCTGCCCACTGACTCCTCCGGAGCAGGAAGGCAGACAGTCAAGGCAGGTATTAATGACAGCAACGAGGTAACAATAAGAAATAAGGATTGAACAACATGAAAAGAAGTTACTATATGAATTTATAAAAGAGTGAACCAACAAATGTCAGGGGCAGGAGAACAGAGAGAGAGGCAGGGTCCAGTTTCATCATGGGATCAGTGCTATGTCACACAGGCTCGTGACCTTTCAGAGCAATGAAAAAAAAACATCTGAGCATCTGTGTACTATATTGACTAGTTACAAATCCAGAAGCTGGAGACAACCCCTATCAAAGCCCGAGATCAAAAGACTCCAAAGCACAGTCTCTACTTTCAAATACATGGGGTTTAAAATCTTAACCACCCCATACCTTGAGCTTATTAGAGTATCACAAGATTTCGTTTTAGCAGCAAAAAAATCCTTTTACTGACAAGAGCAATTTCAATCTAGAACTAAGAGACAGTGAGCCCCTTAGCTGCCGATATAACCTCAAGCAAGACGAAATGAAGAAGTATGGTTACAGCAAATCCTCACATGTGAAATGAAGAAGCATGATTATAGCAAATCCTTACAAAAGAATTTTGAAAGCTGCCCTATCCACCTAGCAGAAAATATCTATTTTTTAAAACACATCACTGACTTACTTCAATATCGCAGCACTTAGAGAACAGGTCTAATTTAATTCTTAACCACGAAGAAACACTACCTCTAAGTGCTTCCATGATTGGCTGGACCGTCTCAGACCACTGGTGTGCGTTGATGGTCGTATAGATCCCAGGGAAATCTCTCTGCCAGATTCTTTGTCCTACTGACCAAATTCCCCCAAGTTCAGAATTTGCCTGCAATAAATATCACTGCCTTTGAGGATAGTCACTCCGCAGATTTACCAACAACTGTATCTTAAAACATAATTCAACATTTCTCTTAAGACGTATAATTACTTCTTCAGCCCAAACACTATCAAAAAGGTTTTTAGATGCTGTGGACAGTAATGCAAAATTTATTTGTATGGTTTATACACATTTTTATTATAACAGAAAATTAAAGCATAAAACAGTTGTCCAAAAATATTTCAGAATTAAGTCTGGAAATTAATTTTTTTAAACACTGTTTTTTCAGAATGTTGTATTTGTATTTCATCTGTACATATATGTGATCGACGTTATGCACAATATTCATATATATGTGCATGTAAAATACATATACATACTTTTTGGGCAAAAGTAATAGTAAAATGACTAATAATAAAGATTGTCAATCTAAGATGTCATACACTGTGGCCTCTCCCAGGAAAGAATTCCTGCTAACATCACTGAAACTGATGAGTGTAATTTATAGTTCTTTATTTTAAGTCAATGAAGCTGGAGGAACATTCCAATCTTACTTAACAGAATGTCTGGAGAAGAAAGAGAATAAAAATACTAAAATGAATTGCTGCTGAATATCAATAATGAACAGAAGAATTCAAGTGAATTCCTGGTAATATTTGGTGAATGTTTAAAAAATTCACTTCGCATTTATGCTAGAAACAGGGAATCCCATGAAATTAAAAATGTATTTCATTCCACTTTGGAAGAAACTTTTAAGATATTATTTCATCTAATCTCCCAACCAAAGAAATCTAAAATCCTAATTAGCAAAAATAATCTTAATGCTGTAAAATCATTTTTAGCATATTCTTGGAAATAATACCAATTTCAAAGTAAATGCCACTACTGCATAAATTAGTTAAAAAAGCAAAACAAAACACAAACCAAACCTTTATTAAAAGGTCTCAGTTGTTTGCCAGGCAAAGTGACACTTACAAGAAGTGTCTTAATAAACATGATCAGTAGAAGCTGAGCACAGATTTCTATACCATCCAAGGGAAATTAAATTTCTGATCAGAGAAATTTGTAGATCTGATCTTAAACTTTAATACCAGTTTAGTAACTATTTCTGTGAACCACAGGGGAAAGAAAACAGAAACTTTAAAAACTTTAGAAGGTTGCCATTTAAATGAATGCTGTTACTACATTCAAGTAGTAGGATACATTGAAGAATACTTACAGATTTTATAGCAGGTGGTATCCGTTTCCAAAGATATCTTGCATTATTCCTAATTTACAACCCCCCAAGAAAGAATAAGCAATTAAAAAAAAATCATCTCAGTAAATGTTTAAAATTCTAGATCTCACTGCAAACACACAGAAGTATATTTTAAAATACTCTGTATTTTATAGAGTGAAATTTAGTTTTATATGAATTTGTCCATGGGAAGTAAAGTAGCTTTCCAGATAAAAAAACATAAAATACTTGCACCAAGTAATATTTTGACATTTTTAGTGGATTTTTTAATTAACGATCTAGATCTTGAATTAAGGCAACGGCACACTAAAAACACAAACACTTAAGTAGGTAATTTATTCATACATAAACAATTTCTATTCAAGGCTCCGGAATTCCCTGACAATGTATGTGATACACAATGCTTTTCTCCTTATCACAAGCCCTCCTCTGACCAATGAGTGCAGAGCCACCAAAACTTCAAGGCAGTTTTTAAGAGTTTGAAAACTTGAACTACAACAAACATACGATGAGAGGATTATAAAAGTGAAACCGACAGCTCATATGATATATGTCTAATAGAAATCGCAGGTTAGTTTTTTTTAAAAGGTATGAAACAAAACGGTTGAATAGAATTTGCCAACAACATTTAACAGTGATCATTGACGATTCATAGCACAAGGGACTCCTGTATGCTTATGCTTTCTGACTTTCCGTCAATGAACATGAATTAGGAATAACTAAAAAACACCACCTTTAAAAATTCTCATAGGTGTTGTTACTCAAATTTCTCTTAACTTTCCCAATCTTCCCTTTCAGTTTCTCTTGATCTACTGATCACATATGAAATTAAGTAAATGGAGGTCATACGAAAGTTTTCTAAAGACAAAAAAGGTCAACAGAATTAAAGGAATTTATTGACACTGTAGTTTCTCATAACAAATTAGGATGTGTTTTTAGAGAATCTATGTAAAACAAGTGTATCTTAAAACAACTCAGCCTAATCATAGTTTGAGTCAGGATTCAATATATGGAACAGGTGTATTAAGTATTACAACAGAAGATAAAGCTCCTTGCACCTCATGTTTTAGTGATCTCTCTTCAATGCAAGAGTAATTTCTGTACAATCCTGATGAAGCTGCTGCTCTTGGCTTTAGGTAGAAGGTACTTACATGTCATTGTGAAGCAGATATAAAGCTAACAGCTGACCATACACTGGGGGAGTAGCAATTCCTCCAGGAGCCTATAAGGCCAAAAACGAGAAACCTTATTTATATTTACACTTAAAAAAAAAAAAAGGATTTTATTAACACTGTTCTAAAAAATAAGCCTATTTTATAATACTTAGTACTACAGATGTAGAAAGAGCTCAGAGAGGTACCAAACACTAAAAATCACAGTGTTGAGTTTAGATCTGCCATCAGCTGTGATTTTCGCTCTCTCCAAAGCTCTGTGTCTTTATATGCACGAGAATATTTAAACGGGATTCCTTTCCCAGTTCTCAACTTCTTAAACGGTCTTACTATTAAAAGAAACAAACATTTCCAACAGATTCCTAAAGCACTACGATTCTGCCCATTCTTATCAAGTATGTTGAATAGCTAAGTAATGAGTGATGCATAGGAAAAAAACAAACACACAGCCGAGTGTTACAAAGACATTACTCCCTTCATTCAAATTTGATTGATTCAAAAAAGATCTATTAAGTGTTTATTAGAGAGCTGCTGCTTCTGGCTGTTGTCTCCTTTGGTTAATTAACTTTTTATACTAATGTTATACATGGTTTTCCAGTGCCTTTCTAAGGAAAAAAACCTCAATTAACTTTAACAGCTGCATGATACAACTTTCACCAGTCTTACACAAGACCGAACGGTAAGCTTAGGTGGTGACATTATGAGACTAAGGACTTTCCTAGTTGAAAAAAGGTTACTCCTTCTTTAGTCTGTGCGTATGCCTGCACAAACGCCCTTAACGAAATCCACATTCTCCCGCCTTCCACCATACGGGGAGGAAAGATGCCCAGTCTGATTAACACAAGAAACATACTGGAGGACGTCAGGAGCAAAGATGCCCAGAGTTTTCGCACTCACTAGCGGAAAACAAACAACAAAAAGCTCCCAGCGAGCTTGGGGAGAAGGGGTCCAGACCCGTAGCCTTCGGAGCGGACCCCGGCGTCCCGAGCTCCCCAAGCCCCGCTCCCGCGCCCGCCGCAAGCCCCGCGGGCCCTGTTACCCTGGAAACCGGCACCGCCCCGGGACCGCAGAAGACCCCGCGGTTTCTCCGAGCGCGACGGGAACGGCTACCTCGAGCTCCTGGTTCTCGCACTGATCCAGCAACTTTTTGAAACTAAAGGCACTTTCCGCCATCACCGCCACTGGCATCTTCCCGGCCGGCCCTACCGCGGCAACCCCACGAAAGCAGACCCCAGACTGTCCCTCGGGCCGTCGCGCCCGCAATGACGTACAAGGCCGCCGTCGCCGCTGAGCGCCCCGGCGCAGCTGCGCCGTCGGTTCCGGCGCGTAGTCGGACGCCACCGCTCTCGGGAAGGGTCGCTGCCGCTCTGGCCGGCGCTCTCGGTGCTGTGGAGGACCCGCCCCGCCTCGCGGGAAGCGGCTTCCGGAGCGCGAGGCCAGAACTGGGAAGGGAGGGGTGTGCGCAGATTCCAGCACAGCTCGGCGTCTCGGGTTTGCGGCCCGACACGCATGCGCACTTCGAGGAGCAAGCCTTTCCTGCTGGTCCCGGGCGTGCTCGCGGGCCTGGCTTGGCGCCCCTCCTGCACTCCCAGTCGGGTTTTCTGAAACTGGTCAGGTGTGGGCTTCAGCCCCGGGGCCAGCGTGGCTGGACCGCTCACCGGGCTTGGAGACCCGGCCCCCGATCGCCCCGGCCGCCCCCGCCTCCCGGCCTCCGTGGGCGCTCCCTAGTGCTCTTCGCCCGCGGACGCTCTAATGTGCAGTTGCATGGGCTTATTGCCGTGTTGCCCTTCACGAGACCGCCCGCGAAGAGGCTTCTGTTTGTGTCCTGCTGCGGGGTTGGACGCACAATTTGTGGGCCCAGAGCAAACTGGAAATGCAGGACCCTCGTTCAAAAAATGGGAGGGGGGCCTTAAGGGTAATGTAATGTAAAGCTTTCTCCTTTGCACTGTACCTCAATTTTTCATGTGCTTTTTGCTATTTAATATTCTAAGTAAAGAAAAATTAAAATTTTAAATTATTAGCATGAATCTTAACATCCGTCTTTACATGGTGTACAGCCAGTTTTAAATTCATATATAAGTGCGTTTAACTCTTACGTGGAATCACAGAAATCACGCAATTCATATTTCATAGCTCATAGTTGCACACGTATGTTGTTCTTATTAAAGCCATGGAAATACTGCACAAAAGTGACAACTATTTTTCATGCACTTCATTTCATGCACATAGTCTACCAGCACTTTCTACCTTCTGTGTACTGATGGGTAAGGAAGACCAGAGAGGAAGAGGACCATTCCCTTTGATGCTATGTTACCATTTTCAGCACAAAGGAATATTTCAGCAGGATTGCAAGGAAGTAACGTTAAGTAATGTAAGTAAGAAAGAACGGTCAAGAGCGTTCCTTGGATGTTCATGTTCCTTAGGACACCATTGCCTTCATTGTATCTTTGAAGAAAGTTCAGGTTCCAAGGGAAAATGTGGCTTCTCAGGGCTATCTGCATGCAGCTAACTCAGTTGTGGACACAGTGCGCTTACCTTGTGAACACACCTTGAGGCTCGCTGAACTCCCATCATTGGGGGTCCGCTGGGAATTCATGTGGTATTTGGAGCACCGTGGAAGGGCAGGGAACACACATACCGCTCGTACCTCTTGGCTCACGTGTAAATGCTCGGTCGTCCCTATGGGCTTCACTTGCCAAACATGCTCAAAGGTAAAATTACTAAGAATTTCAAGACAGTGACAGCATCACTGATTATTTTTAATGAATCAACACTGTTTCCATGGGGAAATGACTGTGTGTAATAATGCTTCAGATGGAATACAAAGATAAACCACTACAAAACTCAAAGAATTGGCAACATTGAATAGGAAGATACACAGGGGTGCCTGGGTGGCTCAGTTGGTCAAGCGTCCGGCTCTTGATTTAGGCTCAGGACATGGTCTCAGGGTCGTGAGATCCAGCCCTGAGTTGGGCTCCGGGGCTCAGTGCTCTGGGGGTGGTGGAGGGGTCTGCTTGAGTTCCTCTCTCTCCAAAAAAAGGGGGGGGAGGTACAGAAATAGCTGACGTACTGGAGATATTTTGGAGAAATAAAGCAACCAAATTTCATCTATCACACGAAGAAGAGGAGCACCGAGAGGCAAAATGATTCTAAGACCATTTGACATAAATTCAATGAACAGGATTTAAAATTTTTAACGTGTAATAATGGCTGCCAACATATTTGGGGTAAAGTAAGATTCAGTGGGATCAACTTCCCAATGATTTTGATAAGGAAAATCTGTGTCCTAAGATGGCCGAACGAGCGGGCAGGAGAGTCCCAGTCCTTGCCCCAGGGCTCTTCCCAGTTCTTCTCCCTGCTCTGCTTCCCGCGCACACCAATCTGGGTTCTTCTCCCTGCCCCGCTTTGCGCAGGGGCCAAGAGTGCCAAGTATGTGGAAGTACAAGTGTATAAATTGCCTCCTTTTTGTGCTCAGGTCTCAGACCTTTGGAGACCACTCTCCTCTGAGCTAGCTGGTGTTAAATAAACCTCCTATCCTCCAAGATCTCCGGGTGCCACTTGGTTCTTAGGTCAGGAGATCCTGTTCAGGTTCTGTAACATTTGGTTCCCTAACCGGGAAACGCAACTGCACTGGCTCATTGTTGCCACCGGTTTGGGGCAATGGCAGGGCGGTGACTGAATGAAGGATCATAAGGGAGAAGGTGCGCCCTGCCTAATAGTTGGCAGTCTCCCGCCCTGGTTGCCTCAGGCCGCCCGCTCTGCTGTTCCCGCTGGACTCGAGGAGACTTGGCAGATGAGAACCTGGTCCTGACATCGGATTCCAGGAAGGCCTGGGGCCCCAGGACCCAGACAGGCCCACACCCATTGGGGTGGAAGTGGAGCCCGATCACCTCCCAGAGACCTCTTGGAGGTCTCACAGGTAGGGATTCCCAGGGAGGGAATGTAATAACTTCTGGAGTGTGAATGTGGGAGTGAATGTGCCGTCCGACCTGGCCTGCTCAAGCGGACTGATTCTGTGACTCCACGCCAGCACCCTTAAGGTCCCCAGAAGTCTGCGGAGTCTGAGTGGGCCTGTCTGCGATTCCATGGTGAACGGCATACAGTCTATGGCGGCATTGGAAGAGATTCCGATCGTTAAGTCACAATGCTGAGAGCGCTATGGCTAAGCCTCAGCTAATCTCCTTTGAGACACGGCCAGATGGGCATCTGGTTGGTCTCCTCACCTCAGGAGCCACCCCCTCACTTTGTCTGTCTCTGCGCCACTGCCCATGGGGACATCACCATGGGGTCAGGGCAGAGTAAACCTACAGTGCTAGAGACAATGATCAAAAATTTCAAGAAGGGGTTTTTGGGAGATTATGGAGTCAGGATGAACCCCGGCAAGTAGAGAACCGTATGTGAATTGGAATGGCCCAACTTTGATGTTGGGTGGCCTTCAGAAGGGACATTGGACATCCCAATGACTCGTCGAGTATGGCAAGTCAAACAGGAGAACCAGGACACCCTGACCAGTTCCCGTACATTGACTCCTGGCTAGGAATTGCTCAGACCCTTCCCCCCTGGGTGTGATTTGCTTGCAATAGGCAGGGACAGGCCAGGGTCTTAATTGCCTCATCCAAGCGACCTAAAGAAAATCAGCAAAAGCCCCAGTCTCCACAAATCCTAGCCAGAGATCCCGAGGATGAACCGATCCTGCCCCCACTGTATGCACCCCCAAGACCGCCCACATCTGGCCCTTCAGCTCCAGACACTCTGCCGCCATCAGTTTCACCAGCACCCCCAGGCCCAGAGGATCCACCGGCGCCCCCAGGCAAAGATCCACTGTCTCCAGGACCAGCAGCCAGGCTGAGCCCCAGGCCAGGTGCAAGCACCCTCCAAATGCTGGTACGAGAGACATGGGAATGCGAGAGGCATGATGAAGATGGGACAGTCCAATCCAGGCATTCCATGATGTATTATCAGCCTTTCTCCACCACCGGCCTCCTCAACTGGAAACATAACACCCCATCCTACTCTGAGAAACCACAGGCTATGGTAGATCTCATAGAATCCCTCCTCCAGACTCATCGGCCAACCTGGGAAGACTGCCAACAGTTACTCCCCACCCTGTTTAACAGAAGGAGAGTGATGAAAGGTGCACAGCAGCACCTGGAAGAGCACGCACCAGCGGGAGTCATTGATCCTGCTGCCTGGGCTAATACGGCTACACCCGAAGCGTGCCCAGCATGGGACTTCACCACCGAGGAACAGGCCCACATCCACTGGTATCAGGAGGCCCTCCTCCAGGGAATCCAGGCAGGAGCTAAGAAACCCATGAACATGACTATGGTCACTCAACAACCAGGGGAGTCCTCTGGGGACTACTATGAAAGACTATGTGAAGCCTACAGGATATACACTCCATTTGACTCCAAGGCACAGGAAAGCCAACAAATGGTAAACACCTCCTTCATGGCTCAGGCCACCCCAGACATCAGAAAAAAACTTCAGAAACTAGAGGGTCTTGCCGGGATGAACATCACCCAGCTAACAGAGATTGCCGGTAAGGTCTACATGAACAGGGAGGTCGCAGCCGAATGGGAAGCCGACAAAAAGATGAAAAAGAAAGTCAGCCTCCTCGCCACCACCCTGAAAGAAAAGGACAACACAAAGGCGGGGAGACCACAACCACCAAAAGGGGGGAAGCCCAGAACCCCCTTGACAAGGGATCAATGTGCCTACTGTAAAGAGAAAGGGCATTGGAAAATGAATGTCCCAACTGGGGAAAGGCACAAAAGCCCAGCCGCTACAAGGAAGAACCCCGAGAGGAGGACCTCAATAGCCTTGCGAGAATGGACTCAGACTGAGGGGGACCAGGCTCTTTCCTCCTTGGCCCCCATGAGCCCACGGTCAGAATGAAGGTGGGGGAACAACCAGTGACTTTTATGGTTGATACTGGGGCCGAGCATTCTGTTGTCAACCCCCCCCCCCGAGTGGCCCCTTTCAGCAAAAGGACTGCGACCATCCTCGGGGCCGCCGGGATGTGGGCGATACAACAGCCCTTCTGCCAGGCTCGCCAGTGCGAACTCGGGGGCCACACGGTCTGACACGAATTCCTTTATTTGACTGATTGCCCCATCCCTCTCCTGGGCCAAGACATACTCTCCAAGCTTAGGGCTCAAATAACCTTTGAGCCCACTGGACACACTAGCCTCCAACTGAACCCAAGGCAAGAGGAGACAGGGTCTTTAATACTAGCAATTACCACACCAAGGGAAGGAGAATGGAGGCTATTCTGTGCCCAGGCCCAACCAAGCCGCCCGCTGGTGTTCAGACTCACCTTCCCTTCAGTATGGGCTGAAAACAACCCACCAGGACTAGCCCGGAATCAGGCCCCTATCATTGTTGAACTGATCCCAGGAGCCCAACCTCAGAGGCCAAGGCAATACCCCCTTCCACAAGAAG